CATACACTGGAGCTGGCAGGTTTGAATCCAGCCCAGGCCTGCCAAACAAAAATGACAGTTGCAATAAAAAACAGCTGGGCGTTGTGGTGGGCACCTGTAGTCCCAGCTACTTGGGAGGCGGAGGCACGAGAATTGCTTGAGCCCAGGAGTTGGAGGTTGCTGTGAGCTATGATGCCACGACACTCTACCCAGGGTGACAGCTTGAGGCTCTGTCTCCAAAAAAAAAAAAAAAAGAAGAAGACTCAGTCCTGGGTGGCACTTGTGGCTCAGAGTAGGGCACTGGCCCCATATGCTGGAGGTAGCAGGTTCAAACCCAGCCCTGGCCAAAAACTGCAAAAAAAAAAGTCAATCCCATGTGCTGGCAAGGCAAGGAACCTCAGGAACACTCAGACACTGCTGGTGGAACTGTAACCAGTTTGGGAAACTAGCATCATTCTCTGAGGTTTGATACATGCCTACCTTATAAAGCTTATGTTACAGCATGAGAAAGAAAATAGATGGATGCATAGTGTGAGGAACTGAATTGGTTAAAGGGCTGGAGAATGTTGCTCTTCTTTTACACGTGGTGATCAGGAAAGGCCTCTCTGGTAAAGGGATGTTTGGAGAAGAGACTTGACTGAGTGTTGGAGTCCTGAGTGAAGTGAAGAGCATTCCAAGCAGGGGGGGATAAAAGACAAGCCCCGTGGTGGTGGTGGTGCGTGAGTTGAGCATGTTCCAGGAGCTGTCGGAGTCTTTGGGGCTATGAGGGAAGGGTGTGTCTGGGACCAGAAATAGGGCATCCTGCGCCTGGGAAGAACCCTGCCTTTGAAGGAAAGGAGAGTTCGTTAGAGGACTCTGAGCAGAGGACCCTGCTCCGAGGAGGACGCTGTATTTAATAGTGTCTCTGTGATTCTGAAAAACGACAGATTCTGAAAGTGTGCTTACCAGGAATTGCTCTTTGATGGGATGTGAGCCGGGAGAGAAGGAAGAGTCAGGATGGACTCTGAGGTTTTTGGTTTGCTCACTGGATGGGATTGCCCTTTCCTGAGATGGGAGGACTGTAGTAGGATTTAGGTTTTAGTTACTCCAGGCTTATAGTGCCTGGGGACACGAAGTGGAAATGCAAGCAGACAGGGAGGTGACTCTTGGAGTTCAGGAGAGAGGCCTGAGATACAAATTGGGGACTTGTCAGCATGTAGATGATATTTAAAGTCTTGATCACTAAGGGAGTAAGTGTAGGTAATGAAAGAAATCTGATATCGGACTCCTGGACATCCCCAAAACTTAGAGGCTAGGGAGTTGAATTGAGAGAAATGCAGCAGAGGATCCATAAGAGAAGCAGGAAAGACGGCTCCGCGCCTATAGCTCAACAGGCCAAAGCGCCAACCACGTACACCTAAGGGGGCGGGTTCAAATCCCCAGCCCGGACCCGCCAAACAACAATGACGGCTGCAACCAAAAAATAGCCGGGCGTTGTGGCGGGCGCCTGTAGTCCCAGCTACTTGGGAGGCGGAGGCAGGAGACTCGCTTGAGCCCAGGAGTTGGAGGTTGCTGTGAGCTGTAATGCCACGGCACTCTACCCAGGGGGACAGCTTGAGGCTTTGTCTCAAAAAAAAAAAAAAAAAAGAGAGAAGCAGGAAAGAATCAAGAAAACGTGGGCTGAGAATGGGGGCCTGTTATTACTTTACTTCCTCTCTGGTCTGCGTCCTCTGCCCTACTCTGTGATACTCTGTGCTACTGTGATACTCCATGGCCACCTGGCTCAGCGTGAGCCTGTCAGTAGATGGTGCTGGAGAGACTTCACAAGACCGGAGGAGAATTATTTTTTTTATTTTCTCATCAAACAGCCTTTGTGAATGCTCTTCTTATGCGTCTGCTTACTGGTGAAGTCACCTTCCAAAACCTCAGGCTCTGCTCCTTGTTTGCTTTCTCTCAGCCGTGGAGGGCAGTGACCGCTGTGGGCAGTCACTCTGTCCGTACTGCTTAGAGTTCTCAATAGATCACCACCTTTCACCTAGTTAACAAGAGAGCAAGGGGTCCACGGGGTTACCTAGCGGTAGAGGAGGGAGAAGTTTCTCCGTTTAGAAGTATTACAGCTAATAAATAAAAAAGAAGTGATAGAATTAGAATACAAATATTTTGCAACCCCTTTGGTGGCACAGCAAAGGCAACTTAGTGGAAGAATGTGACACCACTTGTGAAGTAGCTTTGTTCCTTTTCCCTCACAAAAAAGAAAAAAGTTGTTGATTCCTTAAGAATCTACTTACTAATTTATTGGCAGTAAGAAGATAGGAACATGTTAACTACATTCTAGGGAAGCAACTAGAAAAATCTAGACCATGGGAAACTCTAATAGAAATAAATGGTAAGAAAAAAAGGAAGGATAACATATAAATAAAAAGGAATGGAAAATAAGACTCACTGACCAATTACCTTGTATGTACCTTACTTAGATCCTTATTCAAACAAACTTAAGTATGAAAAATTTTTGACATGTGTGAGACTATTGGGAAATTTGAGCCATGACTGGATATTTATTTGATGATAAGGAAATATTTTTAAATGTTTTGGTGTGGTTATTCCTTTAGAGACATATGCAGAAACATTTATAGATTTAAACAATAGGAGGTGGGTGGGAATGGCTGCCAATAGAGATGAGACAAGATTGGCCATGAATGGGTCACTGCTGAAGTTCCATGATGGGCAGAATTCATTCTATTATTGTGCCTATCTTTGTAGATGCTTGAACTTTTCTAGTAAAACATTTAAAATGGTGGGGAAGGGACGGGGAGAGAAGACCACTTTATATAAAGAAAAAACAATTTTAGAAGAGAGAATAGGAAGGGGGAAAAATCAATCAGGTAAGAGAAAGGGGGTGGGTGGGGCAGTTTCAGGAGTGATTGTTCAGCAGGTGAGGGGATTGGAAGCCAATGCAAAGTGGAGGGTTGGTCTTAAGTTAGGGCACAGGTGGCTGTAACTTGGGAGAAAACGCCCACTCTAGAGCTAGTTGTAAGGTCCCTAAAGGTATGGATGGTGTTTTATACCATGTGTGTGGGTTCAGCACCTTAAGCTGTGCCTCATAACTGCTAGGGATGCCCTTTCTCTTCTGGGGAAGAGAGAATATAAAAGGGAATAAACAGTGGGGAAGGGAAGTAACCAGTACTGAGTATTCACGGCACAGTAGATACCACAGTAAGCTTAAACTACTTTATCTCAGTCGTCACCACAGTTATACGGGGTAGGCATCCCATTTTATGAAAGGAAATGGAGCCTAAAGAGATTAGGACACAGAGCTGGTAGATAGTGAAGTTGGGAGTCAAACGTGAATCTTTTTGCCTCCAACTTTTTACATTTTCCTACATTTTATCATGCTACTTTAAGTTGAACCTGAAGTTCAGAATGGGGAATTTAATTTTAAATTTTAAAAGCAATTCTCTGAGGAGAAAGCAGTCTATTAAGAGATCTTCTCTGTTAACTTTGGGGATTTCTCAGAGAATAATAGCCCTCTCTTCGTTTTTCTTTTTCTGTTCAACTTTATTTTTTTATTTTCTCATCTATGGCCCTGTGCACGCTTTCTATGTGTTTGCTAGCTGGTGAAGTCAAGATGGTGAAACCCTGACACCTTCCAAGCCCCACATCATTTTCTTTCTTTGACAGAAACACAGAGATACCCTTGATCTCATCACAGCAACACGACATTCAAGAAAGGCCAACCTATTTTAAGTAGTTTCAGGTGATAGATGATTGATCCATAGTGAGATACAGACTGAGGATCACACAGGGGAAAAGTTCACTAATCTGGACTGACAAAAGCAGAGAAGACGTGCACTGTCATTTCTAGGTGTTTACTAGGTGACAGCACACCATGGATTTAACCAAAGTGCTGTCTGGAGTATCTAGTAAATGTCACATAGTAGTAATTAAATACCTCAGAGAAGCTCGGAACACTGTGAATTCACAGTGCAAGACACATAAGATGAGTGCATAATCTTAACTTGATGCCATTTCACTCTTTGATTTTTTAGATGTAACTCTTAATTCCATAAATGGCATTCATCTGGTATGGAACTATATTTTTGATTTAGAAATTCAATCTAGTAATCTAAGACAGTTTTCATATGTGCATAAGAAAATGTAAGATTGAAATTTTTGCCTTAAATTGGTAAATAGATACCACAATATCAATGCATCAGGGAAATACAAATCAAAGCAATATGATACCGCTTTATACCTGCTAGAGTGGCTACAATAAAAAAGACAGATAATTATAAGTGCTGACAAGGAGGTGGAACAACTGGAACTGTCATACTGCTGGTGGTATGGTAAAATTGTGCAGTCGCTTTAGAAAACAGCCTGGCAGTTTATTGCTTCTTTAGTTATTTCAGCTATTGTTTAAACTGTACAAGTTGTTCATTATTTGGAAAGTCTGCATCAGAATTCTTGTTCTGTAGAGCCAAAATTATCTTCTCCACCAACACTTTTAAATCTGGTATTTTTTCTGGATGTTCTTCTTTTACATGATTTATCACTGATTGAACAGTGTTTACATAGTGGTTTAGTTGCTGATGAATTACGACAAACTCAGTGATCGCCTTGTCCATAGTATATTCCATATTCACTTCTATTTGAATTTCCACAAGATCCAAGGCAACACAAGACTCGGTGTCTGTCCCAGAGTTGATACATACTTACAAGTTTTTTAAGGAGGAGACAGCAGACTTTATACCACTGAAGGATATGAAACCAGTTGAATCTGAATTAGAATCGGAATGCCTTGGCATCTCGAAATTACTCCCTAGCTGTCCGAGTTATCTCAGAGTGACTGCACCCAGTTTTTCCTACCTGGATGTCAACTGTTTCTCAATCCCCTTGGCCAGGGCTCCTCAATAGCCCTCTCTTCTGACTACATTAGAGTTTCTGTGGGGGCAAGAATTTAAAACTGTACAACAAATAGAAATAATCACATACTGTATTATGATTTTTAATATTTTTACATTGGTTTTTCTGTGTTTTTCTCCCAGATGTTGAAATACTTCATGAGACATTCGTTAACATTGAATCAAAGGATCACAGGTTACAGAAAGTTAAAGTGATTCTGTTGCTGCCTCGCTGTTCAGGACTGGGTGTTAGTAATCCAGTAGAGTTTATCTTAAATGAACATGAAGGTACTTGTCTTAATTTCTAAATTATTGAAATTAGGAGATAACTTAAAAAGTAAAATCATTAAAGTAGCATATTTTCTATTTTATTTGATATATAATTAATAAATAATAGCTATCATGTATGAAGTGTTTACTGCATATGAAGTACTTTATCTGTTACCTCGTATTATCCTAATACCTGTCCTATAAGAGATGTGCAAGGGTGATATTAAAAATATTTAATAATTGGAATAATGTGGGCAATCAGAAGAGATGCTGGCCAGTCTGCTACTTGGGTATATACTAGAGCTCTTGATATAGGAATTAAATTTATCAGCATTCTATAGATGAGAAAACTGAGATTGAGAACGATTGATTCATTGTAATCAGGTCATACAGCTAGTTAGTGACAGAGCTCGGATCTGACTTTAGGTCTGCATGACTCTGCACGTCTTTAACCAGGATCCTAACTAATTCATAATTAGGTTATTTCAGACTTACAACTTCGTTGTTCCCCAGTGTATATGTTTTACTGTATGAATACCTCATATTAAATATTAATTCTAGGTAACTTATTGGCATCTTTAATAAATTTTAAAATTATTATTTAGGGTGGCACCTGTGGCTCAAAGGAGTAGGGCACTGGCCCCATATGCTGGAGGTGGCAGGTTCAAAGCCAGCCCCGGCCAAAAACTGCAAAAAAAAAAAAAAATTATTATTTAACATCTACATTGAGCATTCATATGTAAAGCACTGAGCTAAGCACTTGGGTGATTTCATTAAAAGCTCATGAGAACTCAGTGAAGTAGATTATCTCCATTTTATGAATAAGGACTGTGCGGCTTGGGAAAGTTAATGAAGCCTCCTAGAATCACTGGACTGGGGCTCGGCTCCTGTGGCTCAAGCGGCTAAGGCGCCAGCCACATATACCTAAGGTGGCGGGTTCACATCCAGCCCGGGCCCACCAAA